AAAAATTAACCCTTATGACTGGTTTTGTGATCCAGGGTCACATATTCTGTTGGGCTCTTATTTTTTGCTTTCAGGCTTTTGCGTTGGTAATGTCAAACTGACCTTGCTCTAAAATGGCATGGGCCCCTTATGGGAGAGGCGGGGTCGAGGGCGTCTCCTCCTCCAGCCAGAAGGTCTTTGGCTCCGGCCGGCTCGAGCAGGATTCTGCCGCAAAGGAGTCCTCATGCTGCCCACCTCCTCCAGCTCTTTGCTATGCTCGGTGGAGGCCATTGGACCTGCGGACGGAAAGAGAGTATGTGAATTATGATACATAAAATAACTTTAAAACTTTAAACATAGTCACTTTGGTTAAAGGTGATGAGTGGAACGAACAACATTTTTCCCCATTGATTGGGGACAGAGTTAGCCCCGCCACCCAAAATCACACCATTGACTAAGCCAGTGTCTTACAGTATAAGTGGATATTGGACAAAGTATTTTAATTTTAAAAAATACACATTTCACCTTTAAGAAGCTTAATTAAAATAATTTATTGCAGCAACAACTACCAAAAATCCAAAGAAAGCCCCTCAGCACAGTCACACACACTGTTTACGTAAAAATCTTTCAACTTCTCACATCATACGAGAAGTGTCTGTCTCAAGAACACTGGGGAGACACTTGTCCTGGGCGCATATTTTGTCTGTGTGCACTACACTGCTTGATTGTGAGTGTGCTCAGATGTTTCCAGTCATCTCTCAATAAGTGTGAGTAGATCCTTTAAGCCCGTCTCATATCCACAGCTTGATCCACATCAGTGCGTCCCTAACCTCTCACCTCTTTAGAAAAATCAAACAAAGTCCTCTGGAGAGAGCAAACATTCTGGGAGGTTTTGGGGAGACCTTGATCTGTGCAGCATCTGATGATCTCCCATTCAAGTCATGAATTGGCTTTCTGAGGGTGTTTTGTTTGAGTGCATCGTAGGGATTGGATGTCTTTCCATCTGAAAGTTTCCAGTCTTTCTAATGGCAGAAGCTAGAATCAATGAAACCCGTCTTTTCCTACATTATTGAAGGGGATGAATGGGTAAATGTGCTTGGTCAATCATCAGTTAATGTATGTTTTCCATTTCAGGCCACTGCTCTCCAATCCTTCATTCCATACTATACACATACAATACTATCCTCTTTCCGCTGAAGTCCATAAAGATTATTCATGTGGTTCTTCTAAATGCATCTCTCTTTTATGCATACTTCTTTCTGTCTTAACCTTTTTATCTGTCTTTAACTCCAATGCACGCAAAAAACGCTACCAGAAATGTCTTAAAAAAGGAATCTTTCAGTGAAAGCTCAACAAATGCCTATCCTACAGAGTAAACCGAGAATCCCATTAACCTTTTCCCAGCAAGAACTTGAATGAGATTACTCTCATTGGGTCAAGACATTCCTAACATCTCCCTGGGGAGTGACAGACAACCTATATTAAGACTACTACAGGGAGCAGCTTTTTTTGATAATTTTATAACACATGCAATTGTTGTGAATTAAACAAACAGTTACTGTGAGAATGAGCTTGGTATTAGACCTTCTAGATATCTGGTTTACACAAATAAGCACAATATAGATTCTTTTGCGATATAGATTTTGACATTTAAAACATAATAAAAAAAACATTGTTGGCATAATTTGGAAAACTAGTTTTCTTGTCTTTTCATGACAATCTGTTTATTTATACACAGAGAGCAACAAACAGCTAACACCATATGATTTGAGTTGCTAATCATACAGCCTTGAAATCATACAGACAGTTAGTACGTGTTGTGACTGGACGACGTTAGGCTAAACACGTTGCCTGTAAGTCTGCTTATGAGTTAAATATCCTCAAACTATATTTTTAAATTCCTGACAGCTCAAATTACATTTACAAACTAATCGCCTTTAGCTGACACATTACACGTTCACAGCAGACTAATTCGACAAACAGTGGACTCATTAATTTGCCCCACTGAAAGACTTTGCATATTTCAACGTCTCATGAAAGAAGGAAACCATGCTAAAACCCATCTTTCCACCAGGCCTGCTAATCCGAACATTATCCTCCTGTTATTTCTCCAGAAATGAATGAAGCAAGTCTGCATTCAAGTAATTTCTTTCTAATCTGAAGGGTTTAAAATGTAAAAAGACTCCATGTGATCAGAAATTTCTTTAAAAACACTCTGGATCAGCTTTGAAATGCAAGCCAGAAGTCTTAGCTGATTTAGCTTTTTCAGTACCATAATCACTCAACCCAACATATTGTGCAACTAGCGTAAGGAATAGTCTTGAAATCTCTGAGGGGACAAAAACACAATGTTTTCGGCCAGGCAGGCAGAAGAGGCTGTAATTACACCTAGCTGAGCTGAACATAGCACATCACTGCGGCTCTTCTATCGCTGTCTGTCATAAACCTCTCTGTAATGACACAATTTAGATGTTTCCTGCAATCACCATCTGACAGGCAGCATTTGCTGACCGCTTAGCTTTAAGGGGAGCAAATCTCTCAGAAAACTCTTATCCTAGGCCACAAACAAGAAGAACGCTACTAAAAATAATCTCTAGTAGTGATGAGAACAGCATTTATGAATTAAAGGGATAGTTCACCGAAAAATGAAAATTTGATGTTTATCTGCTTACCCCCAGGGTATTCAAGATGTAGTTGACTTTGTTTCTTCAGTAGAACATAAACGAAGATTTTTAAGTCAAACCATTGCAGTCTGTCAGTCTTATAATGAAGTGAATGGGAATCACGGCTTTGAGAGTCAAACAAAAATACACAAACAAAACCAAATTAAACCCTGTGGCTCGTGACGATACATTGATGTGTAAAGACACGAAACGATCGGTCTGTGCAAGAAACCCTCAAAGCCGTGATTCCCATTCACTTCCATTATAAGACTGACAGACTGCAACGGTTTGAGTTAAAAATCTTTGTTTGTGTTCTACTGAAGAAACAAAGCCACCTACATCTTGGATGCCCTGGGGGTAAGCAGATAAACATCACATTTTCATTTTTCGGTGAACTATCCTTTTAACTCAAGACATGCATTGGACTGATGAAGAGGGAGGTCTATTTTAAGTACTCAGAATCACTCCATTGTCTGTTTTACGACTCTTGGCTTCTTCTAAATCTGCGTAGCTCCATGTTACTCTGAGGGCTGTATCTTTCCACACTGTGGCGAATACAAAGTGACAAGAGCAATAACCGTGGATACACTATAATAGATGGCATATGCTGATGGTATCTTCCCCTACCTTGCTGCTTGTTTACCAGACCCACTCAGGGATGAAAATGCTCTAACCTCCTTATTGCATTAGATCTGATGGTGCTGATAGTGGGCCTCCTTCTCACCGACATAATTTCTTCCAGGTTTACCACCTAATGACAAGCAAGTCAGGAAGCAATATTCCAATAGATGTTTCTCGCGATACCAAGAGTCTTATTTGAAGACCTCAAACCCTTAAAGGGATAGTTCATCCAAAAATCTAAATTCTGTCATTTACTCACCTTCATGTTGTTCTAAAATGTATGGAACACAGGTGAAAGGTGTTTTTTTGTTTGTTTGTTTGTTTGTTTTTTGTCCATACAATGAAAGACAACGGGATCCAGTGTTGTTTTGACTTTCATTGTATAGATAAAAACCGTTGTTCAAAATATTATTTTCTGTTCCACAGAGAAAAGTCATAGAGGTTAGTGTAAATTTTCTGCAAAATAATATCATGTTCCTTCTTGCACGTTTTGCACTTTCATAGACAAACAGAATTTTAGAGTGTTTCTGCAAGTCTTTGAGCTCTTTTATCGCAACTTTTATAGAATTGTGCAAGAACTGGGCAAAAATAAGTTTTTGATAATCTGCCCATGTAATCATAATTTGTGTGAACATGAATATAAGTTGTTGCCGTTTTACTGCCACTAGTGTTCATTTCAGCAGGAAACTGCAGTGAATTGTAGGTGAGTTTTTTGGAGTTATAGGCACGTTCCCTTTCATGGGAACTTCGAACTGCGTCCTCTAGGGGTC